GAGCACAGTGGTGATGGTCGGAGAAACCCAGGAATGGCTGCCCGAGATTGCTGAGCGGGCCAAGGCATTGAATGTCAATGGTGGTTTCGAAGAGGGTGCGGATCTTGGCCCGGTCATTAGCCCCCAGAGCAAGAAGCGCATCGAGGATCTGATTGCCAGCGCCGAGGAAGAGGGGGCCACTATCCTGTTGGATGGTCGTGGCTACAAGCCCGAGAAGTACCCCAACGGCAATTTTGTAAGTGGTCTCCGTAAGTGCTGTGCACTGAATCTTGACTCATGAGATCTCTCTTCTCTAGGTTGGACCTACTATCATCACCAACGTGACCCCTGAGATGAAGTGCTACACGGAGGAGATCTTCGGCCCTGTCCTGATCTGCTTGTCGGTGCCTACGCTCGATGACGCTATCGAGCTCATCAACAAGAACCCGTACGGTAACGGCGCGGCCGTCTTCACCCGCTCTGGTCCAACTGCCTCGCGCTTCCAGAAGGACATTGAGGCCGGCCAGGTCGGCATCAACGTGCCGATCCCTGTCCCGCTGCCCATGTTCTCTTTCACCGGTAACAAGAAGAGTATCGCCGGTGGCGGTGCCAACACCTTCTACGGCAAGCCTGGTTTGCAGTTCTACACTCAGCAGAAGACTGTGACGAGCCTGTGGCGCAGCGAGGATGCGATCAGCACCAAGGCCCATGTTGTGATGCCCACACACTCGTAAGGCCGGTGGAAACAAGGGAAAAAATCAAATAGATATTAAAAATACCTTGAACGTTGCATCATGCCTATATGCGGTGTTATCTTTCACGCTGGGTTGCTGAATTAGCCTTGTTAATAACATTTGTTTTTCAAATTGAATCTCCGAGGAAGGAGTGTTATACCTGCATCTCAACGGCGGCTGGTGAACAAATTGCTGAGGATGAAGGCGTCTGTGTACTGTAATGTCAGATTCATTTCAGTTAACCGTATTGATTCGTTCGAACAAGTGCATGCATCAAGTTTTGTAACAATAATATTCAATTAGGTCTATTCTGAACAGCTTCCAGAGGAGAAACGGACAGTCTGGTCTCGGACACTGAACGAGCGGGACGTGATAATACTTTACAGTAGACCTGCCACATAAAGATGATCAGAGCACTCCTATCGAACATTCTCCCGCCCAATCCACAGTGCAACCCACTCCTTGTTGGCTGATAGAATTACTCCTTCTTCGGGCCAGCGTAACTATACACGAACCTAGCCATCTCGACGTGCTTATCCTTGGCAACAACTACACGACGGGTGTAGTAGCGTTGCCCATCGATCACCTCAAAGCCCCAGATCTACCAGCACTTCAGTCAGCGTATGCATCGATACGAGATATGCCCCGCCACCATCAATACTGATTAGTGAACGGGGGAGAGAGAAACACGAACCTGCTCTGCCGTCCATCCGTTGTCCAGACTCTCCACAAAGCTCTGGAACCACAGACCCTCGCCCTCACCGAATTCCTGGCCCAGATCCTCAACCACGAATCCGTCCACCGGCTTCCCGTCCGCCAGGATCTCTCCGTTCAGGAACTGGGCCACCTTGGGATCCTCGCTCTTGGTCAGGAACGCGAAGTTGGGACGAACTTTGCCATCGCTGCTGCTGCTCCCGCGGATGTACCGCGATTGGCCCTGCACATGGCCGAAGATGTGGTCGGTGTGTTCGCGCTTCTTGCCGTCGCTGATGCGGTTCTCACTGGTTCCCTTGATGCCACCCGTCAAGGTCTGGTCGATCTTGATGTGGATGATGGTAGAGTCCTCCGGGTCCGGGTGGGTGTCGATGTGCAGGGTGATGGTGGCGAGGTTGAGGGCTTTACGAGTGAGCCAGCTCATCCCTTGCTGTGTAGGGACTTGTTAGTCTTGGGGAGAGCTGAAGAAACCGAGGTAGAAGTGAGGGGATGTTTATACCAGTGACAGGATTGCGTCTGTAGGGTTGGACAGGGTTTTGCTCTGTAGAGGTTTCATCAGTCACGGAACGTTGTCATTTAGTTGGTGATGAAGCATCATATCATATCCAGCGTACCATTGTCCATTCTCCGCTGAGATCCTTGATGGTTACTTCTGCGGGGGCGGCCATTTTCGGTGATGCGGGGTACGAATTTCACTTAAAATGAGGATAGGTTCTAAGATATGCTATCGAGGAGTAAGGATAGAGAGGAGGAGAGGAATTTGATATATCTCCAGTAGAGGAATAAGCGAGAGGGACAGTGCAGGATTGAAGGAGCAAGTTGACGGGTGGGACAAGGACGCTTTAAAGGGTACTACTGTACATCTCGGTAACTGGTAGCTAGTGCTGAAGAGGGTCAATCGGCCCCTTCATGTGATCGTCGCTTCCCTCCACTGCAGCCTCGATTCAATGCCATTTCTCTCGATTTAATCAAAATGGGGTAATTGCGGCCGAGGTTGGCTTGAAGAAACTCCGGTCTGGGAAACATGTGTTGCGGAGTAATTCGAACCGCCGCGCCGCCGAAGACGCGCTGATCACCCTTGCCTTTGATAGTCCATAATGTTATGAATATTGTTTCTATTGTGGTTGTTGTTGTTGTTGTTGTTGTTGTTGATGTATGTACTGTAAGTTACTGAGTGTATCGATGTATCGGACTGTATGTGTGGTTTCTCGTACTGTGTTTACCCGCCCCTGGCACGTGAACAAACATTCCCCTTCACTTCCTCTCGAGATCACTTCATCTCCAGCTCTTCCCCGTAACAGTATATCAATCTTCGCACTCAGTCATATAGGTGGACGCCATGTCTTTCAACCGGAAATATGCCGGTCTTCCTGACCTGGTCAGCATATCTCCATTGGCAGCAGTCCAGCCGGACTAAAATCTAACAACAACGTGCAGGATCTCGCTCCCGACATCTACGAGACTCCCGATCTGACCGACGGGGCTTCTACTATCCCGGTTCGCTGCCATGTCCATCGTCCGCGCGCGGGTGTTCTTCCCCATTCTGACAGCTTATCGGCGAACAGACCACAACTCTGCGCACCGCCTCCAATGTAGACGACGATGCTGGCGACAACTCTGACATCGATCGCCAGGGCATCAACGCCGACGAGGCGCGCGCCCACTTCCTCGGTGCCACCGTCGACGCTCGCGAAGCCAATTTCTCAGACAGCATAGCTGCGAAACGAAAAGCATACAAAAGCAAGAACCGTCGGCGACGGAGACATGATCTTGGGGCCGACGAACTCGACGATCTCAGCGACAGTGAAGACGAAAGTGTGGAGCGCAAGCTGGCTCGTCTGCGCCGCGAAGTCGAGGAACTGAAAGATCAGCTGGCAACGCAACAATCTAGTACTGAGTCTGCGGAGGCAGCCGCTCTGAGCAAGTCTGGAACAGATCGAACAGATGGGGTGCTGGAACTGAGCCGCGCATTGGACAATCTCTACGCATCCTCGCGCAGTGGCCCCTCCGGCTCCCACTCGGCCGCAGCTGTCCTGTCTCAAAAGCTCGCCTCCACCTCCACTCCAGATTCTCCGGTCAGCAACCCCGCTCAGCTGGACGATCGTAAGCCCACCAACAATCGTCCACAAACACCCCCGTCCCCGTCCGCGACCGGCGGTGGAGTCCTCGCCCATGCGGCCTCTTTCGATGGGCGACTGGCTCTCATTGAAGCGGCCATGGGAATCTCCAGCTCCTCGAATCCCTTTGTCAACGATGGCATCTCTGAACCGGACCTCCAACCGGTTCTTCCTGCGCTCGACCACCTCACCTCTCGCCTCGCCACGCTGATGAATCTCCTCGTCGGCCCGAACCCCGTCTCCGCCTTCCCAACCATGGGCTCAGCTCCCCCAGCCACGACCGTCACCACGCCTCATCTCGAGTCCCTATCCAGCCGCGTGCGCAAACTAACCGCCGACACGGAGGCCCTGGCCGCCGCCCGTAAGCGCGCCGTCGACGCCGCCAAAGCGGCCCAAAACGCCCGTATCTCCTCCACAGCTCTCGAGCCCTCCGACATGTCGGTCTCATCTTCGTCCGCCACGGAAGTCGATCCCGCCGCCACTCAGCGTGACGAGCAAGCCACCAAGATCCAGGCCCTCTATGCTACTCTCCCCACCATCCAGTCCCTCCACCCGATTCTCCCCAGCGTCCTCGAACGACTGCGCTCGCTGCGCGCCATCCACGCCGGGGCCGCCCACGCCTCGGAGTCTTTAGATGTGCTGGAAAAGCGACAAGCCGATATGGCTCGGGAGATTGAGCAGTGGCGCGAGGGGCTTCGGGTAGTAGAGGAGAAGATGAAGCAGGGCGAGGCGGCGCTGAAAAATAATATTGAGACCGTGGAGCCGTGGGTCAGGGATTTAGAGAGTCGGCTTGACAGGTTGGGAGTCAGTGGGGTGTAGAAGGTACAGCATGTAAAGCAAGATAAGGATGGACACTCAATTCTACAAAGGTGACCCGGCAAGTGCAGGCCATGAGTTGTCGGGTGTATTGTTTGGTTTAAGTTAAGCGGGGAAGATACATTCAGGTTTATTATACGGATGTACATACACTAATACCATTACTTGCACATGCCAGGAAAGACTTACATGAGACCTCAGTGATAAGCCCAGAGGCGTATTAGTTGATTGCCTCCTAAGCGTCGTTCTCAAATTGTGACCGCTGATATACCGTAGATCAAATGTATCTGCTAACACTAATGGACTCTAGTTGTGTGCAAAACTGTCCCTCTTCTAAGAAGACTTCAGGTCCATACGTAATCGTCATGACTAACTACACCCCTACAGCGTCATTCCTAAATACAACCTGAGGTGGCTACGGAGTACTCCATAAATCCCCGATGGCCGCCTAGACCGGTGCCTATCCACGTGACCGCGCGCCGACTTCCCCGCGTCCGCCGACGCGCTCGCTCTCTTATCAAAGAAAGAATGGGCTGGCCCGAGGACTCGGGCTCGATGACGGAAACCCGGCGTACTTTATGAAAGTGCCTTTCTTCTTCCTCCCCCCTCCATTCGTTCAACACTTGATGCAACCAGGCTGCTTGACGGCCCTCGTAGACAGCCCAAGATGTAAGTTTGACTTTTGATGAACTTTGCAAGCTTCGTGTTTCGCGTATGAATTGTAACTAATCCCGAGTCTATCTGTCTGCAGGTGTAAGTGAAGTGAAGTACCGCGGAGCTCGATCTGGAAGCAATAAGTCTCCGACGCTGACTTTTGCACAGCGAAGATAGATAAGCTTTCGATTTTGGGGTAGGTTTTGTTCTTTTGTCCGGCTAAGGTGTCTTGTTCGCAGGTCACTTTTTTTCTATGTTTTTTTGTTTGGGCTGTTAACTGAGTGGGTGTTTCTTTGCCTTGATAAGTGTCCGCTCGTTCGACAATACCCGCAGCGAGACTATCCAATTTCACACGCCGCTTACATTGATTGTTGGGTATAATGGATCGGGAAAGACGGTATTACACATCTCTGTCCGAGGGATGATCGGGTTGTTAGGCTGATGTAATGGAAGACGATTATTGAATGTCTCAAATATGCGACTACCGGTGATCTTCCGCCGAATAGCAAGGGTGGTGCATTCATCCATGATCCGAAGGTACGGATTTGCAGAATGGACTAGATCTACGAGAGGGCGAATGCTGACGATAGAGTTAGTTATGCGGCGAAAAGGAGGTGCTGGCGCAGGTCAAGCTGTCCTTCAAAGCGACCTCGGGCGCCAAGATGGTGGCGACGCGGAGTCTCCAGCTGACGGTGAAGAAGACCACGCGGCAGCAGAAGACGCTGGAGGGCCAGCTCCTGATGGTCAAGGACGGCGAGCGGACGGCCATCTCGTCGCGGGTGGCCGAGCTGGACCAGATCCTGCCGCAGTACCTGGGCGTGTCGAAGGCGATCCTCGACTCGGTCATCTTCTGCCACCAGGACGAGAGCCTGTGGCCCATGAGCGAGCCGTCGGTGCTCAAGAAGAAGTTCGACGAGATCTTCGAGGCGATGAAGTACACCAAGGCGATCGACAACATCAAGCAGCTCCGCAAGAAGCAGAACGAGGAGCTGGCCAAGTACAAGATCATGGAGCAGCACGCCAAGGAGGACAAGGAGAAGGCCGACCGCGCCGAGAAGCGCTCCATCAAGCTGCAGGACGAGATCGAGGCCCTGCGCGCCGAGACCCAGCGACTCTCCCAGGAGATGCGCCGCGTTGCCGACCTGGCGGACAAGGCCTGGAAGGAGTCCGAGAGCTACTCCCAGATCCTGGGCGCGCTGGAGGGCAAGCGCATCGAGGCGAAGAGCATCCAGACGACGCTCGATAATCTGCAAAGACATCTGGTGGAGCTCGACGATTCGGATGAGTGGCTGGAGGCGAATCTGGAGCAGTTCGAGACCAAGCAACTGCAGTACCAGCAGCAGGAGGAATCGCAGAAGGAGAACTACATGGAGATCAAGGAGCAGATCGAGAACGCGCGGCAGAAGCTGGGTCTCAAGCAGGCCGAGTACGGGAAGTTCGAAAATGACAAGGCGAACTTCGAGCGCCAGGTCGAGAGGCGACAGCGCATGACCAGAGAGATTGCGCGGAGCCACAGCATCCGCGGGTTCGACAACGTGGCGGACCAGGCAGATGTCGACGAGTTCATGCGGAGAATTAGGAAGATCCTCAAAGAGCAGAACCAGGTGCTGGAGCGAGTCAAGCGGGAGGCACAAAGCGAGCTGCGTGAGGCGCAAAGCTCCCTGAATCAGCTTGGACAACGTAAATCGGCACTGCAGGAAAGTAAGATCGCGGCCAAGCGACAGATGGCTCTGAACGACCGAGATGCGGCTTCCTATCAAGCAAAACTCAATGAGATCAATGTCGATGAGGGCGTGCAGGCTGCGCTGGAGACGAACATTGAAGACATCAGTTCTCGCTTGGATCAGGCCAAGGAACGCTCACGATCCGCTTCGTGGGATAAAGAGATCCAGAACATCAACTCGGAGATACGCAGTCTCGAGGACGAAAGCTCCCGCCTGAACACCGAACTCATCGAGGCCACTAAGAAGGCTGGTGATCTCGCCCGGTTGGACCACCTTAAGAAGGAACTGAAGGAAAGGGAGCGCAGTCTGGAAACCATGAAAGGGGCTCATGGCGAACGACTCTCCAAATACGTTAAACCCACTTGGAGCACCGAAACCCTGGAGCAAGACTTTCACCATGTTCTAGAAGAAGAGTCAAGACACGTCTCGAAGGCGGAGCGTGAACGCGACGGCGTCAGCCGCGAGCTGGAACAAGTAGAGTTCAAGCTGAAAGAAGCGAAGAAAGCCTTGGGTCAGCGGCAGAAAGAACTCAAGGAGAGCGTCACAGAAATCCGTGAAGCCATTGGCGAAGAACCCGAGGAATATCTTGAGATCGTCAAAGAGCGGCAGATCCAGCTTGATCTTGCGCGCAAAGATACGGAGCAGTTTGCTGGCATCAGCACGTACATGAAAGACTGTCTTGCCACGGCAAAGTCAACGAAGGTTTGCCGGCTGTGCCAGCGAGGTTTCGAAGCAGACAGACAATTGCAGATCTTCATCAATAAACTTGAGGGCTTGGTCAAGAGGAACCAACGCAATGCTGAAGACGAGGATATCCGACAGTTGGAGGAGGACCTCAACACCGCGCGAGAAGCTATCACGGCCTACAACACGTGGACACGATTGAAGGACACAGAAATCCCGAGTCTGGAGAAGGAAGAGGAGCAATACGTTCTCCAACAGGACAAGCTCCTCAATCAATTAGAAGAACACGACCAGATCCTCGGCGAGAAGACCGAGAAGAAGAAAGAGGTCGAAGCACTTTCCAAAACTGTCAGCACTATCGTCAAGTATGACAGCGAGATCAAATCTATTCGCTCTCAGATACAAGAACTCTCTTCAAAGCAAGATGACAACACTGGTTCACGCACCCTGGAGGATATTCAGGAAGAAATTGCTGGGATTGGCGAGCGGTCCCGCGCTCTGAAGAAGACATTGTCAAAAGTCACCCATGACAAGGAGCAGGCGTTAGCGGAGATCAACAATCTGGAATTGCAGCTCAGAGATGCTAGGAGCAACCTGGATAACGCCAAGTTCCAGCTCGAACGGAAGGCAGATCTTCTCACTCGCCTGGCAGAGTTCAAGAACCTCAACAACGAACAGCGTGCCGCGATCGCGAAGGCGGACAAGGACATTGAGGATCTCACTCCTGAACTACTCAAGATCCAAGCCCAGGTTGATGACATCAGTCAACGCGCCGACGCTCGCGAGAGGGAGTTGCAGCAGGGGATTTCCCAGCTGTCCGATAGCGTACATCAGCTGGAAATCGCAAACGAGGAGATAGAAGCCTACAACGAGCGAGGAGGTCCCACTCAACTCGAGCGAAGCAAACGAGAACTCCAGACCATTGAGAACGAGATCAGCGAGCTTGAATCCGAACAGGCCACGATCACGAAAGAGATCAACCGGATCTCAGCCCAGCTCAAAGACAGCGAAAACACCAAGCGCCAATACGCCGACAACCTGACGTACCGCCAGGCGACCCGGGCCCTGGACAAAGTCAATGCGGAGATCGAGCAACTCGCCGCGCAGAACGCCGAGGTCGACCGCAGCCGCTTCAAGGAGGAATCGGAGCGCCGCACGCGCGAGCACAACGCCCTGGCCGCCAAGCAAGCGAGCAAGATGGGCGAGATGAAGTCCAAGGACGACCAGCTGATGCAGCTGCTCGCCGACTGGGACACGGACTACAAGAACGCGGCCAGCAAGTACAAGGAGGCGCACATCAAGGTGGAGACAACGCGCGCGGCGGTCGACGACCTGGCGCGCTATGGCGGCGCCCTCGACAAGGCCATCATGAAGTACCACGGCCTGAAGATGGAGGAGATCAACGCCATCGTCGGCGAGCTCTGGCAGAAGACCTATCGCGGCACGGACGTCGACACCATCCTCATCCGCTCCGACAACGAGAACGCCAAGGGCAACCGCTCGTACAACTACCGCGTCTGCATGGTCAAGCAGGGCGCCGAGATGGACATGCGCGGCCGCTGCAGCGCCGGCCAGAAGGTGCTGGCTAGCATCATCATCCGCCTCGCCCTGGCCGAGTGCTTCGGCGTCAACTGCGGCCTCATCGCCCTCGACGAGCCCACCACCAACCTCGACCGCGACAACATCCGCTCGCTGGCCGAGTCCCTCCACGACATCATCCGCACGCGCCAGCAGCAGGCCAACTTCCAGCTGATCGTTATCACCCACGACGAAGAGTTCCTGCGCCACATGCAGTGCGGCGATTTCAGTGATTACTATTACCGGGTTTCGCGGAACGAGCGCCAGAAGTCCATTATTGAGCGCCAGTCGATCGCTGAGGTATGTTGCAATGCCCATCCATGGTACGACGATTCTATGCTAACGGGTGTCGGTAGGTTATGTGATTGTGACTTTATGTCGCTGGTTGCCTGTGGGCAGATTCGGGGCTCTTATGCATGGCATGGTTTTTACGAGGATAGGGGATGTTCTTCCAATCGAGGATCAAAAGTGGTACAGTCCACATTAGCTTACTTCATGTACTGTACATCATACATCAACATTAGCAGAGAGCATGTGCCGGCGTTTGAGGGGAAAAATTAGAGTTCAACTACATTATTAGTATCTCCTTCACACTATTCTGTCGTTCCAAGACCGCTAGATCAAGACACAGGCTACAAAAGGGAAAAGGACCCATTTCCAAACTCTAAAGGACCTCCTCGTCATCATCCAACAACGGCACGAACCGAAAGTCCACGAAACTGACCACAGGCGCTGAACCCCCTCTAGCCGACAACCTCGCCCCACTGGAGCCAGCATGGACATCGGACTCGATCATGAACTGCAAGCTCAGCACCCCCTGCCGATCGCCCCGGATACTGACCTTATTCGCCACGGCCATCGCGCGGCTCGCTTTCTGAATCGCCTTGAACCTGTAATCCTGTCGGATGTGCTGCGACCCCCTCGACGATGACGATGAGGGCGGGCTGACCAGAAACGTCTCGGTGACAGTCGGGGCGAGGCGGGCTCGTTTCGCGCGGGAGGCACCCTCATCGTTATCTTCACGGGGAGCGGCACCGGAGGCGGGGGTCTGATTCTCGACGGAGAACTCGACGGAGGACTCGCTGAACGAGCCGCCGGCGCCGGCCAACGCGAAAAACGGCTCGTGGGTCGCGGAGGCCGAGATTTTGAGGACGGTCGGGTTCGTGGCCGCCAGCTCGGTGATGGCGTTGTGGAGCCAGGCCGACCGCATGATGATCTTCATGATGATCGCGTCGCGTTGCAGGGGGATCTCTATCTCGCCGCCTTCGGGCTCGTATGTGGTTAATTCGCAGGTGGTCTGGATGCCGGTCTCGGTGAGCGTGATGCTCAAGGGACTGCCTTCTGTGGCGTAGCGGAGGGTGCAGGAGCGGTCGAGGAGGAGGGCTGGCGTGGTGAAGGCGCTGTGGGAAGGGGCCGGTTGCACGCTGCCGGCGCGGGAGGAGCCGCTGCCGCCGGATGTGGAGCTGTCGTTGATGCCGAGGATCTTGAGGGTTTCGAGGAGGGCGGTGAGCGAGACTTCGAAGCACGGGTAGTAGGGGGTTGGGTCGTCGGTGGAGGGGGACTCGGTGTCATCATGCTCGGTGGGGGTGCGAGCAGCGGCTGGTGGTGGTGGTGGTGGATTGAAGGTGTAGCTGGTGAAGAGGGCCTTGTCGAGGAATGCAAGCCCCTGCACCGTTCGGGTTTCTTCCACGGAGAAGCGGATGCCGTCGGGCGTGAGCTGCACGGTGGCCTTGGGCGCGAATCCGATGCATTGGAGGAGGGTGTAGAGGTGGTGGGCATTGCTGGAGACCGCGGTGAAGATGGGTTCCACGTCCGCCATGGTTCTCTGGCTCGGACTGAGCGCGGCGGTAGCGGTACGATGCGTGTGGATTAGGTTATATGAGGAGTGCAATGAAGGAGAGAGAGAGACAAAGGTGGTGTAGATATATGCTTCGTTTTTTTGGTTTTCAACTTTCCAGTATATGGTACATGGGTATCAGAGGAGGTAACTGGAACTTTTAAACGTAAACTCCAACGGCACAGATCATATAGACGGCTCCGAAGCTGTTCCACGGACGTTAGTCATGGCCGATTTGGTGGGACCGCGGGCGTGTTCCTTACCCAAACGCCAGCGATGCTGGGACGCCGAACAGAGCAATGCTGGTGAATGAACGGTCTGGTCAATTGGTAAGCACATGGCGAGAATAAGGTCAAATTCGAATCTCAATGGGTCGGTGACTGACTCAATCCAAAGAGACCAGTAAGTATGAAGGCTGGTGGATTAAATGGTCAGTAATCGGCAGTATAATAGCGACAAGAGGCAGGTTGAGCTCACCAGCAAGCAGGAGACTAAAGCCGACGAAGAACTGGCTATCTTTCGCGATAAGGGGAGAGTAAGGGCTCGCAGAAGCTGCCTCCCAGACTTGGTTCAGAGACATTGAGGCGTGACGAACAAAAACGAATTAGTAGGGAAAGGCTTTGTCAGGAACAAGAGAACGCTTCACAGAATGGAACAGAAGAGAAGATTGCTTTGATATAGAGTCCTAGCAACGTAACTAGTTCGCTGTTGTCGTAATCATCGAAATGGTTATCTGGCTTAACTGCGCCGGATCAATATAGTTCCAGGCCGTTTCCCCCCCCCGTATCGGCAGGTGGAGAGGCCGAGAGGGACGCCCGCGCGCTACTTGCCTCAGCTCCACGTCAAGTCAATCACTCGCTCGTTCAGAATCTCCCTTCCTGAATACAGTCGCAATTCACATTATGCCGGCACTTACATCAGAGAGTGAGTCAAAGCTTGCGGTCAGGCAGCTTGGTTCGTTACTAAATTAGGTTGAGGTCCAGGTACCAAGCGGAAAGCTTCGGAGGAGGCCCTTTCCCCAGATTCACAGCAACGGAGCAAAAAAGCGCGCACCGATTCCCCGGGGGAGGAGCTCAAGGTGGGCATATCAAGATTGGAATGTTAGGGTGATGATTGGGACACGGTACTGATCTCTTCGGCGTTCAGATAGAAGATGAACCCCTCGATAAGCCGCCCATGAGGATTGTCCCGTTCCCGGAGAAGGTAAGCTTGCGCAGCATCTCCGCCCCGGCTATTGATGATACTAACAGTTCCAACCCACAACAGCCGGCCGTACTCGAAGAGCGTCGTGGTGAGATTGAGTTTCGTGTGGTCAACAACGATGGCTCGCGCGACAGTTTCGTCGTCCTCACTGGTCTCAAGTGTATCTTCCAGAAACAACTCCCCAAAATGCCCAAGGACTATATCGCGCGCTTAGTCTACGATCGGTCGCATCTGTCCATCGCAATCGTCAAGCATCCCCTGGAAGTGGTCGGGTGCGTATATGTGTGATGGGAAGGTAAATTGGGTATTGGACTGGGCTAATGGGGCATGCAGAGGCATCACATACCGCCCGTTCAACAGTCGCCGCTTCGCCGAGATCGTCTTCTGTGCCATTTCTTCTGACCAGCAAGTCAAAGGATATGGTGCGCATCTCATGTCCCATTTGAAGGTCAGTGTGCAATCTTCCGGGTGAGAAAAAACAGCTATTGACGTGTGTGTCATACAGGATTACGTCAAGGCGACATCGGACATCATGCATTTCCTCACCTACGCTGATAACTACGCCATCGGGTACTTTAAGAAGCAGGGCTTCACCAAAGAAATCACGCTCGATAAGTCTGTCTGGATGGGGTACATAAAGGACTACGAGGGAGGAACAATCATGCAGTGTACCATGCTGCCCACGATACGCTATCTCGAGGTTGGCCGCATGCTTCTCAAACAGAAGGAGGCGGTCCATGCAAAGATCCGGGCGTTCAGTCGGTCACACATCATCCATGCACCCCCCAAGGAGTGGAAGAACGGAGCCTGCAAGATCGATCCCTTGCTGATCCCAGCTATCAAAGAGTCGGGATGGTCGCCCGATATGGACGAATTGGCCCGCCAACCCCGCCACGGGCCGAACTACAATCAACTTCTGCATCTGCTCAACGACATGCAGAACCACAGTGCCGCGTGGCCGTTCACACAACCGGTCAACCGAGACGAAGTGCCTGATTACTACGAAGTCATCAAAGAGCCCATGGACCTGTCGACGATGGAGGAGAAACACGAGAAGGATATGTATCCGACGCCGCAGGACTTCATCAAGGATGCCATGTTGATCTTCGACAACTGCCGAAGGTACAACAACGAGAACACGCCGTATGCCAAGAGTGCCAACAAGCTGGAGAAGTTCATGTGGCAGCAGATACGAAACATTCCGGAGTGGTCGGTAAGTACTAGTCTCCTCCCCTGGATCTTGCATGGTCAACGGACACTCAGGCGCTGACATTTACTCTAGCATTTGGCCGAGAATCACTGAATAGGTGGCTGTGTAGTCTTTTGGTGCGTAGGCGTTGCTAATTGGCGTTTGGTTTTGTGCGTGTGTGTGTGATGAACGAATACCCAAAGTTATGAGAACATGGAGCGTTGCTTTCTCTTGCACTTTTCTTCTTGTTCTTCTGGTTGAATGTGGACATAATTCACAGTAGGGATAAGTCTATTGAACCTTGATGGCCCTGTGGCTGTATTTCTGTGTCTTGCGAATAGGATGGTCATATTCATGCAATATGATGGTATCGATGCATAAGCAGGGCGAGATCGATAAGTACTTTCGAACCCCTTAATTTCGACCCAACACATACCTCCAGTGCTAGAAGGAAAGCACCTACGACTTCTTCCCCAAAATCCGCTTAGGATGTCGGGCCCCGGCCACTCCTGATCCCGCCGCTCTCCCGAAGCCGGACCCTTCGTCAATGTCCATCCTCGACCCCCCTAAAGCCTGAATACTATCGTAGTCATTTCCATGTTCCCAGTACCCGTCATCATCATCCAGTTCGTCTGCACTAAACTCGCGCTTATTGCCGCCGAGGCCGCCACCTCGGAAGGCCTGCTGCTGCTGACCCCAGTGTTTCCGCGCCCCGCCGGCCGCGTTTCCCTCGCCTCCACCGGCAGCACTAGCGGCCTCCGCCCGGTACGCGGCCAGCGTCTGCTCAAAGATCACGTTACGCTCATGCTCCTTGGCCCGCCGCTTCGCCGACTCGGATTTGATCTTAGCGATCTCGGCCTCGATGTCGCTGATGACGTCGCCGCAGCGCGTCTCCCACTGCGTAAGGATGGTGATCATGCTGGAGAGCGACTGAGGCCTGACGTCGCGGAGCGGGGCGATAGCGGTGACGTTGACGGTCGGAGGGGTCGAGGCCGGCGAGAGGCGGGCGGTGATCAGGGAGGAGTAGATGGCGGTTGTGACGAGGGATTCGAGGTCGGCGGGGGCGGTGATGGAGAGAGCACCCATGAGGGCGGTGTAGGTGAGGGGTTGGATGGTGGAGGAGAGGGTGAGGAGGGTGAGGAGGCGGAGTTTGAGAGTCTGGGCCGGGCTCAGAGCGGGCAGGTTGGGTGTTTCTGTGAGGGTGATCAATGTGTGAGCATTGCGTTTGCGTTGTTATTGTCACGGTTTGTGAAGGAGATATGTTAGAGAAATCTGACCTTGGTAGTCTTGCCATGTGCCCCAGGCGAAGATCTCAAGCAACGTCAGGTAGCTCTGGTATTCTGCTGGGGTGTCCGGGGAGCGGAGGGCTTGGACTGCCGCGGTCTCCAGGAGCTCTGCGAAGACGAACGTATGTGGGTTGGAGGTTGCATTTGTGATGATATTGGCGACAAAGCGCGGAGAGTTGGCGCTGGATGAGTTGGCGAGAGCGATGAACGGCTGGAGGGCCTCGATGGCCCGGGTGTGAATTTGGTCCATGCTTGCTATCTGTCGGCCACCTGGAATACGATGGCTCGATATCACACTCGTTCGATTGACTTGGCTGTCTAGGCCGATTGTAATGGAATCAGGAAGCTCAAGTTCACCCTCAGATGGTTGTGTCTGCAGTTTCTGGAAGTGCTGATAAACAGTTATAGTGGGAAATCAGCTCAAAGGTGCCGGTAATTGTCAGCGGTGGGTGGGATGAAGCGTTGAATCGATGACCCATGATAAGATGGATATTATGGCGGTGTTTGTCTGCGATGCAAACATGGTGGGAGTGACATCCGGCCATGTGATTCCGGGACTCTACGGAGTACAAACAGGTATCCAACTTAATACATCCTGCAGTCTCTACTTTCGGCTCTCCAATTTGCTATCGTTCTTGTCAGGACTGCTTCGGAGTAGCTCGCTTCAATGGGCGTTTCGACTGAGGTGAGGCTCTGGTCGACCTTCATCTATTGAGAACCACTGCAATCTCAAGTCTGGAACCATTCCAGGAGCTACAGCTCTATAGTTGAAACGTCAGAGCACCCGATGTTTCAACCCCAGAACCCTTCCACTGTCTTTTCTTGACAGCTAAGCATGACAGGTTGTCTAGATCTAACGGTCCCGATACTTGAAAACGTTCGCAAGAGCACAATATCATTCCAAGGTGACCCGGGTGTCTCAGCCAAGTCTGCACACAGCATTGTTCCTCTTTCAACGAGGTGTGGTTCGCATTTCTTACACCTAGCTACCTGGTCTGCGGAGTCCGACGGCCGCCAAACGATCTTTCGTTACGCTATGATGATACCCAGTTCGAGATACAACAAGTCTTGGTGTTGAGCTCCTCCAGTTGCTCGGATTGCCTGATGACTGGTCGTCAAGTCTGCTTCTGAATTCAAAGAGACCTGATTCCAGAAACGGAACCCTCCTTGCAGACTGGCATGCAGGGCTGATCCTGACCATTCTTCGTGTTCCGGGATGAGACTTGTCTGACCAGCCTGCAGCTTGAGGCCTCAGTTATCCAGATCAAATCTAGACTCGACAATATAGAGATGTCGAACGGACGTTGAATCAACCGAAATTCAGATGATGGTTCATGAATTGATAATAGTTTTGTACGTACGTAGCAGAGCCGACTGCCGACGATAGAGTACACGAATGGGCGTAGAGCATGGGGACTTTTCACACGTAAGCGGGGCCGGGCATTCCTTGAAAGTGGAGAGAAATCGGAGGTAATTTTCCTCCTCGATCAACTCAAACTCACCAAGTGGGTTTCTCCATTGGATTCTCTCATTGTTATTGTCCAGAACAATCAAAAAGAAAAAGAATGACAAAAAGAAAAGAAGAAGAAGAAATATGGACCACTTTGCCCACTCTTTGTTTAATCCCTAACCGGCGCTGATTGCCTACCCTGGCATACCTTTGCGAGACGATTGTTATGCTATTATTCTATTGAGTGATGAATTCGGGCTGACTGCACTCTGCAGCGCCCGGTACTTCTTCAACTGAAAATCCCAAAACTGTCTCTTCCGCCCCCATCCGGTCTTTGCACTGGCTCCATTATTGGTACTACTTTTTTTAGTCTCAATATAAATCCGTCTTATTATTACATGATCAATAGCCAAGTCTCCAGCGATCCTTGCATGACAACCTGCGGTTCCCTCCGTTACTGCTAGCTAATCATTCATATATTACCCACCCAAACGCCCGCTCCGTCAGCATCCCCCCTCCCATCCAAACCACGTTCTTATGCGATAACACTGCCGCCGGCCGATAATCTTTCTTCGCCTGGTTGTCACCACCAACCACCAAATCCGTGCGACATGGCGGCCTCATCAACCGCTTTGCTCCGCACCGGAGACCATGGCTATCTCAACGATCGATCGCCCGCTCATATGGCTACCACTACGGTTAGTGTGGAGGGTATGACGTGTGGCGCCTGCACCTCCGCTGTCGAAGGGGCCTTCAAGGGAGTTGAGGGCGCCGGCGAGGTGACCGTGAGCTTGATGATGGGCCGCGCCGTTGTGCACCACGATCCGAGCTTGCTCCCACCGGAGAAGGTCGCCGAAATTATCGACGATAGCGGTTTTGACGCCAAGGTCATCTCCACGGACAGCTCATCCCTACCGACCGAAAACACGGCGAAATCCTCCATATCGATCACCACACTGGCAGTGGAAGGCATGACCTGTGGCGCTTGCACCTCCGCGGTTGAAGGAGGGTTGAACGAGGCATCGGGCGTCCGATCAGTCAGCGTGTCTCTACTCTCAGAGCGCGCCGTCGTCGAACACGATGCCTCGGTCATCACCCCGGATCAAATCGCGGAGCTGATTGAGGATCGTGGCTTTGGTGCAAAGGTGCTGGAAACCTCCACGGCTCAGGATAGCTCTCAATCTCTACAGGACTTGACGGGGTCAACATCCTCTTTGATGGTCACCACGGTATCTATAGACGGCATGACATGCGGTGCATGCACCGCGAGCATACAAAATGCGTTCAGCGGAGTGGATGGATTGGTGCAGTTCAACATCAGTTTACTTGCGGAACGAGCGATTCTTGTTCACGACCCGTCTGTTCTACCAGTTCAGAAGATTCTCAATACTATCGACGATGCGGGTTTCGATACAGCTCTAGTATCTTCCGAAGCGCAAAACCTCTCGTCGAAGGGTCTCGGCCAAGTTACCCTCAGTCTTCACGGTGTGCGCGATGCTGCCTCGGCAACGTGCTTGGAGGATGACCTCCTCCAAAAGCCTGGCGTGTCTTCGGCCTCCGTGGACATGAGTACCTCCCGAATCAAAGTATCCTTCGATTCCTCCATGCTCGGTGTCCGATCGATCGTCGAAGCTATCGAGGCAGCTGGATACAATGCCTTGGTGTTGCAGTCAGATGACACGAATGCGCAACTCGATTCGCTCTCGAAAACCAAGGAGGTTCAGGAGTGGAAACGCGCGTTCCTCTTCTCCGCCTCATTCGCCGTGCCGGTCTTTCTCATCAACATGATTCTACCCATGTACCTTCCCGCGCTTGATTTCGGCCGTGTCCCGCTCTTTTGCGGTCTCTACTTGGGTGACGTCGCTTGCCTTTTACTTACTATCCCTGTTCAGTTTGGCATTGGAAAGCGCTTTTATGTGGCCAGCTATAAGTCTCTGAAACATCGGTCGCCGACCATGGATGTTCTGGTCATGCTGGGTACATCCGCGGCATTTTTCTACAGCCTTTTCACCATGATCGTCGCGATGTTTTCGGGTGGTCACTCGAGGCCTAGCACGGTCTTTGATACAAGCACGATGCTTATCACATTTATCACGCTGGGAAGATGGTTGGAGAACAGAGCTAAAGGTCAAACTTCGGCTGCACTTTCGCGACTCATGTCCTTGGCGCCTTCAATGACTACTATCTACGATGACCCTATCGCGGCAGAGAAAATGGCTGAGCAGTGGGATACTAAGACCTCACCATCGGAGGACAGACACTCGGCTCCTGCAGCACATGAGACCTCGGGCCCTGGGCAAAAACTGATCCCCACTGAGCTCATCGAAGTTGGGGACATCGTGATGCTCCACCCCGGAGATAAAGTCTCGGCAGATGGTATCGTCATTCGCGGCGAAAGCTATGTCGATGAAAGTATGATCACGGGTGAAGCCCTTCCTATCCACAAATCCAAGGGCAGTGTTGTTATTGCTGGAACAGTCAACGGGACAAGCTCGATGGACTTCAAGGTCACACGCGCAGGTAAAGATACTCAGCTTAGTCAAATCGTCAAACTGGTCCAGGATGCCCAAACGAGTCGAGCTCCCATTCAACGTATGGCCGATGTGGTAGCCGGGTATTTCGTGCCAGCTATCATCAGTCTTGGCCTGGTCACCTTCTTCGGCTGGATGTTTATGAGCCATATTCTGCCCCATCCACCCAAGGTTTTCTTGGCAGAAAGCAATGGGGGCAAAGTCATGGTCTGTCTGAAGCTCTGCATTTCCGTGATTGTTTTCGCCTGTCCTTGTGCCCTGGGTTTGAGCACGCCCACTGCCGTCATGGTTGGAACAGGTGTAGGTGCGCAGCAGGGTATTCTCGTCAAGGGTGGTGCTGTTCTCGAAGCCGCTACAAAGATCACCCATGTGGTTTTCGATAAAACGGGGACCTTGACAACCGGGAAGATGAGCGTTGCAGAAACCAGAATTGAGTCCCAGTGGACTGCGAACGACTGGCGGCGTCGATTATGGTGGCTTATTGTTGGTCTTGCGGAGATGAGCAGCGAACACCCTATTGGAAGAGCCATCTTTGCCGCCGCTCAGACTGAGTCAGGTAATCCCGGAGATGGCGGTCTTCCAGGAAGCTTGGGTGACGTCGAAGCCGTTGTCGGAAAAGGTATCTCTGCACTGGTCGAACCAGCCTCTAGTGCCGAGCGCATCCGATACCGCGTTCTGGTGGGTAATGCTACTTTTCTGCGATCCAGAGACGTCGCAATCCCAGAATCTGCCGAGCCCCAATCCTCAGATGATATGGAAAGTATCAACGCCAAAGCTCCTGCCGGTATCACCCAGATCCACGTCGCCATTGATAGCCAGTATGCCGGTACCATCTCGCTTCGGGATACTGTGAAAAGCAGCGCTCCGGCAGCAGTTGCGGCTTTGCATCGCATGGGCATCATGACATCCCTTATCACGGGTGACACCCATGCAACTGCCATTTCGATCGCTGCAGCTGTCGGCATTTCGACCGATGCAGTCCACGCTTCCGTGTCCCCTTCGGACAAGCAAGCTATTGTCGCTTCGCTGCAAGAGGCCGGCGATCGAGTTGCTATGGTTGGTGATGGCATCAACGATTCTCCCGCCCTGGCTACTGCGTCTGTCGGTATTGCGCTTGCCTCTGGAACCGATGTTGCCATGGAAGCAGCCGACATCGTTCTCATGCGGCCCGATGACCTGCTGTCTGTGCCAGCAAGCTTGTATCTATCCCGGTCGGTGTTCAACCGAATCAAGCTAAACCTGATGTGGGCATGTCTCTACAACGTCATTGGACTGCCTTTTGCCATGGGCATCTTCCTTCCCTTCGGGTTCATGCTGCCCCCTATGGCCGCCGGTGCCGCCATGGCTGCCTCCAGTGTCTCAGTTGTCGTTAGCAGTCTTCTCCTCAAACTCTGGCGCCGTCCCAAATGGATGGACGCTGACAAGCTTCTCAAGGAGATTTCAGAAGCGAACACCGACTTCAAGTCTTCGCAGAAGAGCTGGTGGGCCGCAACTCTCTCGGTCACCGGCTCCTCCTCCTCCTCCGGTGGCCGATCATCATCCCACTGGATTCGCAACACTGGCGCCGAGGTTTGGTCCTTTGTCACGGGCAAGAGAGCCCGAGGCTCCGACTTGGACGAGGGCCGCTACGTTCCTCTCCAAACGGTGGAACCAGCCTGAGTCCTCCTGTGTTAGACGCACAATTTTTCTGGGTATATAATGATTGTCTTGTCACTGGTTGTCTATGAGCTGAGCATTGGCAATTTGGCCATATATTGCATATCTCTCTGCATGTCACGACCCTCTAATGATCTGATTTGATTTTCTTTGTTTTGTTCTTTTCTTGGTTTCTTGGACAGCGAATGGTGCTATCTTGGTGTTGTGTGGTTTTCTTTTCACTTTCTTCTCCCAATCTCAGCTAGAAAGCCTTCTTTCCGACGGCCTATAAATCTTATACCGCAACAATTAGATGATAATCCTTCAACATGAAAATTGAAGTTCCTTGATTACTGCATTCCCCTGTATCTTCCCTGTCGTGGCACTTATCGGAAGGACGCAAAGGACCTCCAGGCTCCACATTCGAACCTGTAAGCCAAGTGCATGCCTCGTAGCGAAACTACCGAATCACATTCGAGAGCCTCGCTCATCATCAATGTAGGTTCATAAATATGCAGGCAATGCTAAATCATAGTTTGAATTTTCTCACAGATAGAGACGCCGATCGGCTTCCGCTATTGCCCACAGCTCCTCTCAACCTTGCTACTACTGCTGCTGCTGCTGCTGCTGCTGCTGCTGGTGGTGGTCCTTTTCGCTTGTCGCAGACATTTCTTCCGCCTTCGCATCCTCCAGCGCAATGTCTCCATCGCCATCTGTACCAGGCTTAGCATTACCTTCCTGAGCCTGGCCCCCTCCCTGACTTGACTGTTGTTCCTGCTGCTGCGGGCCACCCTGCAGTCCCGCAGCCGACTCCTGGCTCTCCTCTTGAGTTTGGTCCTGCTGCTGCTGCTGCTGCTGTTGCTGCTGGCCGCTCTCCGCCGCGCCATCGAGAGTCATCTCCACTCCCTTCCCGTCCTGTAAACCCAAATCCTCGACCCCGACGACAGGCGGACCCCGCGCATGCGGAACGTCCTCCACGACCGGCTCGGTGGGCATCGACTCCATCCCGCCCATCACCTCGTTCTCAGGATCGATCTCTCCCGTCATCGTGGCAGTCGTAGGCTCTCCTCCTCCACCACCACCACCACCACCACCAACACCACCCCCTGAGCCGGTTGTAGTGGTCTCCGCCGCTGCCGCAAACCCAGTCTCACTCTGCCCGATAACACCTACAACGTCGCCACCCGCGGCTTCTTGGTCGCCTTCCCCGTCGGGAGACGACGCAGCGTTGTGCAACCACGGGATCGGGGTGAGTAGCGCCCCGCCGAGCGACTCGTCGCTGCCCAGGGCGTTGTCGACGGAGAACATGAAGCTCGGTTCGGCCGCCGCCGCCGCCGCCGCCGCCGCCGCCGTCGCGCTGCCGTTAAGGGTGCCGTTGGGCTGTTGGTGGTGAGACAGCACTGGTTGTTGGGTGCCGGTGGTGGTCTGAAAGGGGAAGATATCCGCGGGACTGGTGACGGAGATGACGCGGTCGACGGCGCGGAGGTACGCCGGGAGGGTGCGGTAGTGCGCCGTGGGACGGAGGATGAGCTCCGCGAGGCGCTGGATGGTGTGGGGCGGTTTGGAGGGGAAGAGCGTGCGGATATTGGTGGAGATGGCTGTCAGGAGATGGTCGAGGGGCGCCGGGAGGGTGGTTGCGTTGGTGGAGGATGTTGATGATGGGCCTGGCTGGGAGTCCGGGATGCGTTCGCTACTGGATAGAGGCGTTGTGGTTGGGGAGGTGGCTGTTGGTCGCGGTGGGGTTTGAAGGTTGGGGGGATTGCTCGTGTCGGCGCTGGTGCTGCCGGTGCTGTCGGTGCTGTTGTTTGTTGTAGGGGTGGGATCTTGTGCTAGGATGGTGGCGGCGGAGGGGAGAGTGGGCGGTTGCGCTGGTGCAGCGGGCACTCGGGGCATGGGGAACGCATTGTAGACGTTCTTGTTGGACCGGATGCTTGTCAGTGACTCGGTGATCTAGACGCGCGTGTGGTATCTTGGGGCTTGCGCACATGTTGGAGTCGCTCAAGAAGCGGTTCGACAATGTTCGGCCATTTCGAGCTGGCGGGAGCAATGTCAGCGTCGGATGGACGAACCAAGCAGATAGGCAACATACGGGTCTATAGCACCGCCATTGGCGGCTGTCTCGAGGCTCTCTTCGTCTGACATGCGCGCTGAGTGAGCAAGAGGTGATCCAAGTTGTGTAAGGAAGCGGACTTGAGCTAGAATAGCTTGCGAAGGGATGACTGAAGACTGGGCTACAGCGCGGAGACTTACCAAGCGACATAATCACGACAATAACTTCTGTCTCTGTTTGAGAAGGCAGGAGAATGGTAAGCAAGAAATAGAAGGCCGGAGGAAAGCAATGTGATGCAATTGTTTGATTGATAGATTGAGTGATTGATTAATTGATTAATCGACGGCTCGTGACGCGCGCGCGCGGGGAGGAAGAGCGGCTCCTCGGCAACCACCCACTGTGATTGGCCCCGACAGCCGCTTATCGGAACCCCACGTGACTGAGGGGCTCAATTTCTCCTTCCCCAGATCCTCTCCGTTTTCGGCCTTCGCTCGTCGCTTCCCCGTCAACTATTTTTTAATCTGCTCCGTCGTGCATTTCGTCGGTCCAACAAAGTCCAGCCAGCAATATGTGGAACTCCCCGAAGGTCGGAATTCTTGGTGGAGGCCAATTGGGCCGTATGATGGTCGAGGCCGCCAACCGACTCAATATTCAATGCAATGTCCTCGATGCGGAGAACTCCCCGGCCAAGCAGATCAGCTCCCACGACGACCACGTTACCGGCTCGTTCAAGGAGCGCGAAGCCGTCCGCGAATTGGCCAAGTCCTGCGACGTGATCACCGCTGAGATCGAACATGTCGATACCTACGCTCTCGAGGAGATCGCTTCCCAGGTCAAGATTGAGCCCAGCTGGCAGGCAATCCGCACGATTCAGAACAAGTTCGACCAGAAGGAGCACCTCAGACAATACGGCATCCCCATGGCTGACCACCGCGAGCTTACCGAGAACACACCGGAGGAACTGGCTAAGGTGGGTGAGCAGTTGGGTTATCCTATGATGCTCAAGTCAAAGACTATGGCTTATGATGGACGCGGTGAGTCATACTTTCTCTGCCAACGCCTTCTGGTGCAGGATCACTGACGAGGTTGATGGCAACCAGGAAACTTCCATGTGCGCACGAAAGAGGATATCCCCGAAGCTCTGGAAGCTCTCAAGGGCCGGCCCTTGTATGCCGAGAAATGGGCTTATTTCAAGATGGTTCGTCCTCGGCGCCCCCCCTTCAGGCCGTCACACATACCACGAAGTATATGGTTCTAACGACTAGCCATTGTATAGGAACTTGCCGTCATGGTTGTCAAGACCAAGGACACCGTCCTCTCCTACCCCACCGTTGAAACCGTCCAAGAAGACTCGGTTTGCAAGCTCGTGTACGCCCCCGCCCGCAACGTCTCCGATGCGATCAACCAGAAGGCCCAAGAACTGGCCCGCAAGGCCGTCGCCGCGTTCGACGGCAAGGGTGCCTTCGGTGTCGAGATGTTCCTCTTGGAGGATGACAGCCTTCTCCTGTGCGAGATTGCCAGCCGGATCCACAACTCGGGTCACTACACCATCGAAGGATGCGCCATGTCGCAATTCGAAGCCCATCTGCGCGCGATCCTCGACCTCCCCATTCCTCCCAAGAGCCTCGAGCTCCGCCAGCCCTCCATCATGCTCAACATCATCGGCGGCGCCGCTTCGGATACCCACCTCACCGCCGCCGAGCACGCCCTCTCCATCCCCAACGCCAGCATCCATCTCTACAGCAAGGGCGCCGCCAAACCCGGCCGCAAGATGGGCCACATCACTGTGACCGCCGCCACCATGCACGAAGCCGAGACCCACATCCAGCCGCTCATCGAGGTCGTCGACCAGATCCGCGCCCAGCGCAGCGACGTCAAGACCAAGCCGCAGTCCTCCTCCGGGCCCTCCAAGCCCGCCCCCTCGGTCGCCGTGATCATGGGCTCCGACAGTGACCTCAAGACCCTGGTCCCCGGCCTCAAGCTCCTGCGCGACTACTTCGGTATCGAGCCCGCCGTCGACATCACCTCCGCCCACCGCACCCCCACCTTCATGGCCGAGTACTCCGCCGGCGCCGCGGCCCGCGGAATCAAGGTCATCATCGCCGCCGCCGGTGGCGCCGCCCACCTCCCCGGCATGGCGGCCGCGCACACCGCCCTCCCTGTCATCGGCGTACCCGTGAAGGGTAGCTCGCTGGATGGTGTCGACAGTCTGTATAGCATTGTGCAAATGCCTCGAGGTAAACTACCCCAAATAAACCCTTTGCCTATTTACACGCATAAACAACAACAACATATCTTTCCCCAAAACCCCCCGCATACCGTCCCTCACCATCACTTTCACTTGATGCATCACCCCGGCTAACACGACCATACAATAGGCGTCCCTGTCGCCACCGTCGGCATCAACAACAGCATCAACGCGGCTCTGCTGGCCGCTCGTATCCTCGGTGCCTTTGACCCGGCCATCCAGAAGAAGGTCGAGGCCTACGCCGAGAGTGCTCGCGCCGAGAACATGGAGCTGAAGGGTACGAAACTGCAGGAGCTGGGCTGGGAAAAGTACTTTGAGCAGATGTAAAATTGTTGTTGCTTTCTACTTTCGTCCTTGGCTTAAAATTCTCTTTTCTTTAATGGTTATGATCGGATACGGTATGGGTAAATAGAAGATAGAAAGGGATGGGGGATAGGAGAGATAAAGTTGTTCAATGCCATTCTGGGCTTGTGATTTCAATTCAGTTCACTAAGAATTTAAAGTGAAGAGGCGGATGCAGGAGTGGGTGTACTGTAATTGTGCATCATTGGACATATTACTATTCTTGGTAGGATATTTTGGGCGGAACCTTCTACACTTGGAAGGCAAGTAGAATAGAATGACATCACAGATACAATGGATTAATCATTAACTACTGAGATATCTCACAACATAATCACAGACCAGAGCAGGGAATCAACCGGCATAAACAATCATTAATACACGTGGTATGGAAGTGGAGAGAAAAGAGTGGGACACATTAGAACCAAAGAAATCCCAGTACGCAGTACTGACAAACAGGTATCGGTATCAGTAAACAGGAAATAGAGAACAAGACATAAGAAAAGAGCTGATTAGCGTGGTAAACCGAGCTTCGTTTACTTTGGTTTTTTTGAAGGAAACCCAGCAGCCGTCATTGTTTTGCGAATTGTCTTGGGTCCAGTCCTTCAGGCGTGGCTTAAGCGGTCTGGGGGTTGAATGCGGTCTGAGCACCAGGGACAGT